AAAATTAAAAAAAGTGAATCTGCTCATAAACTCGCCAAAAAATGTGTGGAAACAATGAATCAAAAAAAAGTGCAGAATTTCGAAAAAAAAACCGGGAAAACCCAAAAATTTAGAGAATTATTTAAAAACAGAACAAAATTTTTTTTAAAAAACTCGCAAAAAAATGCAAAAAACACTTACTTTAATAGAAGAGGTTGTGATGTGCCGTTTAACGCCAAACAATGATAAGTGCTGATTAGCTTTACGCCAGAAAGCTGTGAATTCAGGGGCATTCAGCTGTACAGGTGTTGGTATGATTGCCAGGGCTGATTTCGAAAAATTTACCACTTTTCGATCTTGTGAATTCAAATCATCCCACGATTGCTGCACCGAAACCAGCGTATCTAAGCGAAGGAAGGAAGAAATGAGAATATCATGCAAAAAATTAGAATTTTCCTATCTTTCAAATGTCTAATTAATAATACGATTTTCACATTTACCACTATACTTTAACCAGTAAACTATTAAGTATTCTCTGAAAAAATTACCGCAAAAAATTAGATTTGCAAAAAAATTATCAAAAAAAAACACTCGTTACATTAAAACGGCTGCAAAAGTTGTTGTTAGAAAAAGTAAAAGAAAGCTTAGAACCTCGAAAGAAATGATTATTCATTGCATGATAGGTGTTAAGCCAGTTATAATCGGGATCCAGATAAATCAGCACATAATCTCCTGATTCCATCAAACCTTGCGCTCCCATTTCCAGCAGTATCCGACGAAATAAACGAACATTTCCAAATGTCAGATAAACTGAAACAGCATTTATCACTTTTCTGAAACTTTTTTTCAAAACCCCAAAAAAATTTTCTTGGAAAAAAAATGTTTTTTTCTGAAACCTAAACCCAAAAATTTTCTAAATAATGAGTCTCAACTTGCAGCTACACCTCAGTAATGTCGTGAGGCTCGCACCCAGCTGGTGTGTAAAAATGACTCATATGATCTTGCCGAAGTGTAAAAAAAAATGGATAAAGGAAAAAAGCTTACTTCTTGTTGAAGAGAATGTATGAGAGATGATCTGTTCCACGTTGCTTTGTTCAATTTCGGAGAACGGATGCGGTACAGTGCTCACATTCATTATTGTGTAACGTGCATCGCCCGCATTTAAACCCAAATTTTGTTTCTCAATCGCACTCTTCAACAAAAACTCAGTTAATACGAAGACAAAGAAAGATTTTGGATCTAAATACCATATTAATCAATGAAAATATCGCTGAGAATATGTATTTCATCCCTTAGCCACATGTTGCATCATGATTCCCTCCTAGGTAAT